CCACGTCTCGAGCTCTCTCGCGCAGACTCGGACAGCCTCTGGACGCCCGAGGGAGAACTGCTCGGGATGGCCCCGGGAGACGCAGGATGCCCCGGGCGCCCCCGATGGCTCTGGCGCGCTCTGCGTCGGCCCAGTTGTCTCCGCCCGGGAGGCCTCGCTGGAGGTCTACCGAGAAGGGCCCCAAGCTGGGAGGTGGAGGGGGGGGCGCCTACTCATCAGCTGGCGATGTTCGTTTTAGTGTAGACTCTGCCGTCGATGATGCAACATGTGCGACAGGAATGGGGCGCTGCGCACAATCGATCTGCGTGGCGTGGCGAGGCCAAGATCGAAGGGGCAGCCCCCGTGGTGCTGGTGCCGCCGCTCCCCCCTCCGACCCCTCGAACCCGTCGGGACGGCATGGAGCGCCAGAGGGGCGCCGTGGCGTGGGCGGCATCCCCCAGAGACGCGCCCTCCGCCTGGCGGCGGCGGCGGCGAAAAGGAGGCCGCCCCTTCTCTCGCCCCTTCCGCCCCCCTCCCATGCTCGGACGCATTGCCAGCGGCCCCGGAGCCCGGAGCCTGCCCCCGGACACCGGGAACGGCAACAGCAAGCGACGCCAGAGACTCCGCGGCCCGGGCCCCCCCCCCCCGTGCTCGTCCGATGCGCATCCCCGCAAAGGTCCCGACCCCGTCCCCGGGGCCAGCGCTGTCGTCCTGGCTCCGTGCTTCAGCGTCCCTCCACACGGGGACTCCAGCGACCCGGCGAACCCAACCCTTACCGATGTGGACAACGCCGCAATGCCAGAAAGAGCCCCTATACTGGCAACGTTCGGCGACTTCCCGACGTACTCGGTAATGAGTACCCATTGACTACGGTGCCGCTGAATGCTCCACGGCTTAGTGGGCCCAGGAAACGGCAAGGTCTTTTTTCACCGTTTCCGAAAAAACGCCCCTTGAAAATGGAAACGGCAAAGAAACGGCGACCGGAAACGGCAACAAAAACGGCTCCAGAATTGGAACCGGAGCGGGAACCCGAGAAAAGAACGGCAAGGGAAAACCGGCAACACCACGGCGTCGGAACTGGCAAACAATTGGCAAAACGGCCCTGCCGTTTCCGGGGCCCATCAATTCTCCGCCACGGTCCACGGCCCCTCGGGCCCGGTGAGGGGAGCCCCGCGGGGGCGCGGGGCGACCGAGGCAGCACGCCAGCGCGGGGCGAAGACCGTCGAGAACCATGCCGTCCGTCGGAGAGCGCTCGGTCGTCGTCCGCCCGTGCTCGGCGCGCCAGCCGCCGGGACCCGCCCCACCCCCGCGGGGAGGAGGGGAGGGAGGAGGAGGAGGAGGAGGAGGAGGAGGAGGAGGAGGAGAGGAGGAGGAGGAGGAGGAGGAGGGAGGAGGAGGAGGAGGAGGAGGAGGCGGAGGAGGAGGAGGAGGAGGAGGAGGAGGAGGAGGAGGAGGAGGAGGAGGAGGAGGAGGAGGAGGAGGAGGAGGAGGAGGAGGAGGGAGGGAGGAGGAGGAGGAGGAGGAGGAGGAGGGGGAGGAGGAGGAGGAGGAGGAGGAGGAGGAGGAGGAGGAGGAGGAGGAGGAGGAGGAGGAGGAGAGGAGGAGGAGGAGGAGGAGGAGGAGGAGGAGGAGGAGGAGGAGGAGGCGGAGGAGGAGGAGGAGGAGGAGGAGGAGGAGGAGGAGGAGGAGGAGGAGGAGGAGGAGGAGGAGGAGGAGGAGGAGGAGGAGGAGGAGGAGGCGGAGGAGGAGGAGGAGGAGGGGGAGGAGGAGGAGGTGGAGGGGGTGAGGATGAGGTTGAAGGAGGATTTGTGTTCCTCCCCCTGCTGGTTGGGGCCTGCGGCCCAAAACTGCAGAGCGGCGCGTCACGCACGTGCCGAAAACACGGCACCGCAAGTAGCACAGACAGGAACAAACACCTTCCGAGACCAAGGATGAGGAGGAGGAAGAGGAGGGGGAGGAGGAGGAGGAGGAGGAGGAGGAGGAGGAGGAGGAGGAGGAGGGGAGGAGGAGGAGGAGGAGGGGGAGGAGGAGGAGGAGGAGGAGGAGGAGGAGGAGGAGGAGGAGGAGGAGGCGGAGGAGGAGGAGGGAGGAGGAGGGGGAGGAGGAGAGGTGGAGGAGGAGGAGGAGGAGGAGGAAAGAAGCCAGGCCCACACGGTGCTTGAGGCGAAAACGCGAACCATAACCCCATTGCCCTGGGGTCCCCCTTGTGTGATGGGGGTGGGGACCCGCTCGGGTAGCCCCGGGTGGAGGAGGGAGAGGAGGAAGATCTGGAGCAAGATGAGGAGGAAGAGGAGGAGGGGGAAGAGGAGGAGGAGAAATAGGAGGAGGAGAAAGAGGAGGAAGAGGAGGAGGAGGAGGAGGAGGAGGAGCAGGCGAAGAAGGAGGAGGAGGAACGGCCCCCGACTGCCCCCGGCCTGTGCGGTAGAAGTCGTTGCGCCTCGGCGAGCGGCTGCCGCTGGACGGGCACGCGGCGCACGCAGCGCTCCCTCCGCCCCCCCGCTCCCGCAGGTCCTCGTCCATCCTCGGGCCCGGGGGGGAGGCAGAATCCGCCGACCCTGCCGACGCAACAGCCCGACCAAGGGCTGTTGCGTCGCAGTCGCCGTCGCTCCCGCCGTCGCGTCGCCGCCGCCATCACGTCCCCTCCTTCCCCCGAGTCCGTCGCCGCCCACTTCCTTCCCTTGGGCCCTCGTCCTCAAGCACGCCAGCCGAAGCGAAGTACACCAGCCCATCCACAGCGAACTGCAGCAACGTTGTCATTGAGTCGAAGAGAAGCCCCTTCCATGAACAGAGGGCAGAAAATCAACCCCCATGCGAGCCTCCAAGGCCATCTTGTCGGCCCCTTGCGAATCGACGCTCGTCGACGCTAATTAACGACCTCATCGATCCCCAAACGCTAATCGATGCTAACCGACGCTAAAGACGGAAATCAAAGGCTATGCCAGGCTCCCATGATTTGCAACCGAAGAAGTCAGCTAGGCAAAGGTCGGGAACGCTTGATTACCGTGAGATCCAAGTGTTTTCGCCCAGTTGAGGGCCCAGGGGCCTCACAGTTCGATCTGGGTCGGACAGATCCGGCAAACAGATGGGGTCTTGGGTTCTGGTCGTGTTTCTTCGCGACGCTGCATCCTGCCATCGCTCGAACGTCTATCCCCGGTGCATTTCTCGGCTTCGTGCGTTTTTTTGTTTGGCTCGATAATTACCAGCCTGGAATCTATCCCTATCCCTATGCTGGGCATCTCCTCATCACGATGCCAATCTTAGGGATCCCCTTCTTTTTTTTGAGGGCGCACCCCTGAGCTTGTCATCGCCTTTTGGCGTGTCGATCTTAGGAATAGGGATAAGCTCGAGGCTGGTAAGAGAATTCAGGATGCTCCTCGATGGTCCCCGCCGGAAAAAAATGCACCCGCCCGAGCGATGCCAGGCCTCTGCTTCGCAGCGTCGGGTCCCGGGGCAGCAGGTCGCGGCGGCGGCCCTGGCGCCCTCGTCTATCCGCGGGCGGGGTGAGATAGCAGTCGGGATGGGTACTCCAGATTTCGTAATAAAAGGGAGGGGGTCTGGACCCCCCAAGACAAGCCATTTCAGACCCCCCCCGTGGGAGAACCCTCCAAAACATCGTCCCCAGACCCCCCAGGCCCTCCAAGATAGCCTGGAAGAGACCCCCCCCCCCCCGAAACGAGACCCCCCTTCCTGTATTACGAATCTGGAGTACTCAGGCCCCCTCGCGTCCACCAAAAGGCGGCGGGCGGTGTGTTTGCGACTCTCGGCACCCAGGGGGCCCTCGCCAAGCACCGGTTGGCGGGATGCAAATGGGGGGAGAAGTTCAGATGGGGAGAGGCGCAACCGAGGTAGAAATTGCACCTACGCCCCACGGAGAAGGTACAATTTGTACCGACGCCACGCAGACAAGGTACAAATTGTAGTTTTGACACCGTACGCGACATGTGCGAGGATGTTAACGGGGGGGGGGAGAAGGTACAATTTGCACTTGCAACCCGCAGGGAAGGTACAAATTGTACCCCAACAAAACGGTACAGGATACTCATCCCCCCATGTCCTGATCCCCCCATCGCCATCCGGCCGAACTGGGACCGACAAAACATAGCTCGGGAGTATTAAAGGCCGGTCCCGGGGAGCAGGTCGAGACTCCAGGGGGGCCCACGCTGTGGAACAGATACAGTCGGGACGTTGACCTAAGGAACCCCAAATAAGGAACGAGGCCCCTTTTTCCCATCAGTTGAAGTTCGATTTCCCGTCGAAAACCTAAGAAAAACCTGAGGCACGCTGTGAAACAATCAAGGAACACGGAGCCCCTCCCCAACGAAAAGGGTTCCTTCTTCAGCGCCCCGACTGTATGACGTCGGGGGTCTGGGAAGTCGGGGCGGGCGTGTCGCAACCGCCAGGTGTGGGCCCACCTTGGCTGAGAGCCGGGGAGACCAGCACACGATGGACGAGAGGAGGCACGGAACAGGCTGAGACCCGGCTGGACACCGAGGGGTCGAACTACCACTGATGCAGCACTGCGCTGCGCTGCTGGGAAGTTCGATGGAGCGCGATGCGATGCATTACGCTGCCCGTACTTGTTTGCGACGTGTTGCGCTGCACTTCGTTGTTTCGAGCTGGCTTACATTGAATATGCATGCATCGTCTTAGAACGGATTGAAGATCTTTGGTGCGAGACGCATTGTTTGTATCGCATTGCGTTGCGCCGATATTACAGGGGGATCCTCGAGGGACGAAGGGGAACATCCTCAAGGAACCAGGGGGATCCTCGAGGAACCTGGATTCGCGCGGCACAGCCAAAAGCCCTCCTGAATCGTTGCTTTTTTGGGGCTGTAGCCCGGGCTAACTGGGTTTGGGGGGGAAGTGGCGGCTGATAACCCACAATTTTCGCTTCGAGCAGCCCCACGCATGCTCGGGCGCACCAGTATTAGGTCGGGCGTGTCCCCCTACAGGCGGGTTTTTGACGGAAAATGAAGAATACACGCACAATGCCCCCAAAGTGCTCAACCATAGTCCGAAAATAGTCCCCCAACCATTGTTTTAACTATGTTTCGACATTCCCCCTGTAGAGGGGGAGGCCCGACCTAACACCTAGTACTGTGTACACCCTTCGGCGGATCTGCGCGCAGCCGACAAGGTCAGGTTGTCCTGGGGGGAAGGACGCGCGGGGCGGAAGGGCCCGATAATCAGTTGTCGCCGGACTCTGAAATCAAGCGCCGCTCCCAAGCGCTGTGTGTCGTGTATCCGCGCCGGGGCTCCAGCGGTGGGTCGCACAGAGGCATACTAATACTAAAAATCCCCTTCGGATGCGCGCGTCCGACCCGAACGTATAGAATACCCATCCTGCAGCAGATCGTTACCCGAGCGGTGTGGCCAGAAAGCGCCCGCCACGACGCACATACTGTTAAGTCGGGCCTGTCCCCCTACAGGGGAATTTTCGACGAAAAATCAAAAATACTCCAAAAATGCTCCAAAATGTTCAAAAAATACTTTTGAACAAATAGTCCCCAGACTATTGTTTGACTATTTTTGAATATTCCCCCTGTAGAGAAACGGGCCCGACCTACACATACCGAAAGACTTCTCGGTGAGCGCGCGTCGCCCCCTGGGGAGGGCGACGAGCACATGGTATTCGTATGTTGGGGTGGCGCCGAAAATGAGCCCACAGGCAAAGCGGCATTCGGCAGCAACAGATACTAAACATATCATACGCAAACAGCGAGGGCGTCAACATGTCGCCCCTGGGGGGGGGGGCGACGACCACATAGTACTCGTATGTTGGGGTGGCGCCGAAAAGGAACCCACAGGCAAGGCGACATCCGGCAGCAGAATACACAAACATATCATACGCAAACAGCGAGGGCGCCAACATCGACCTTCTCTGCCCAGCCGAGGCCCGATCGGACCTGGCTCGCGATGCACTCGTAGAGGGCGAGGAGCTCCCGTCGTGGCCTTGACTTTTGCATCACGGCTGCGTCGGCTTAGTAGAAGAAGGAGACAAGCCATGAACATATACTGCTGGCGCTCCGCGCAGAGCGCCACACGTGTGTATGTTTATGCAGTGTGTTTTTTTATTCGACTTAGGTTCCCAGGTCGGACGTCGGGGCTGTGCAATTTCAACTCTTCCAGCGCTGTCCTCAGCATCGCCAGGTGCAGGGACTTGCCCACGCACTCCGACCGGCTGTCCGCCTCCGCCTTCCCGGCCCCAGCACCGGGCCTGTCCGCAGTCTCCTCCTCGGCGACGGGGGTAAGCACAATACCATCGCGATATTGCTGCTGCTCCTCCTTCTCTGACCCCCTCCTCCTCCTCCTCCTCCTCCTTCTCCTCCTCCTCATCTTACACAATCCTCCTCTCACTCCCGCTTTCCTCCTCCTCGTCATCATCCGCATCCTCCTCCCGAAGCCCGTCCAATCCTCTCCCACCTGTTCCTCTTCCTTACCCGTCTCGTATTCCTGCTCCACTTCCTCATCCTTCTCTCCTCCTCCTCATCCTCATGCCCCTCAATATCATCCTGTTCCTTCTTCCACCTCCCGCTCCTTCTCTTCTTCTCTCCTCCTCCTCCTCCTCCTCCTCCTCCTCCTGCTCCTCCTCCTCCTCACCCCCTTCTCCCTGCTCGTCCCCATCATCCGCATCCTCCTCCCCTAGCCCGTACAATCCGATGTCCCTTCCCCTGTTACTTGTCAGATTCGTCCTCTTCTTCTTCGCACTATGACTGCTACTCAACTTAATCAGTTTCATCCTCATCACCATCATCATCAACAGCAGCATCAGCAGCGTCATCAACAACATCATCAGCATCACCCAGCATTATCAGCATCATCATCAGCATCGTCGCCCTCATTAGCATCGCCATCATCATCATCATCACTATCAGCATCATCAACACCATCACCACCACCATCATTACTAGCAGCAGCATCATCCCCCTCCTCCTCCTCCCCCTCCTCCCCCCTCCTCCTTCCCCTCCTCCGCCCGACCCTGACCTCCAGAAGCCGCCCCAAGCAAGCGGCGCGAGCCTCCCAAATTGTATGGTGGTGCCGCCTTTGGTGCCGCCTTTGGTTTTCCAATGCCCCCCCCCCACACACACACACACACCACACACACACACACACACACACACACACACACACACACACACACACACACACACACACACACACACACACACACACACACACACACACAAACCGCACTTGTTGGCCGATCCGAACAAAATTGCTCGACGCTGGAATCCCCATACGAGCATCTGAGTTTCCTGGCACGGGTCGCTGTCAATGCCTGGCTGTGAATTCCTGCGTGGCTGTATCCGCCTGCATCTATCCCAGCAGTGCCAGCCCTGAGGCCGCGCCACCTTTGCCAAGCCTCGTCCTTCTCCCTCCTCCCCGTCCCGCGCCCTTCCTCCTCGATCCCTGTTCCTTATAATTAACTCCTCCCTGTCGAAGCCCCAGACATGTCGGCGGGGCGGGCTGGGCGTTTCGCCTGAGACTTCCTCACCACTTATTCACGGATGGAGGCTGGGC